GGAAGGAGGTGGGGAGGGGATAGGAGGAGGAGGAAGGAGAGACTGTACTTTACTTTTATCAAAAAGGTCATCATTCAAGTCAAAATCAAAGCTTGCAGTATTCACCAGATATCCCTCACACAGTTAATACCCTTGCAAGACTCATTATCACTACATACACTCACTTACAACTCACTCATCATTACTATAATACACATACACGCACTGCTAGGACGAAGGAAATGGGTAAGGGAGAAAGGGTTAGGGGGGATACATCATACTACCCAATGTGCTGACAAAGTGTAAGCAGCGGAATTCTTAGGCTAGTGGGTAACAAACTCACTCATTCATACATATACACAAACTCACAGATGCACTTTTTCATTTGCTTATTATCCACATGCACATATGATCCACACCCACAGCGACAATCTATGCCGTAAACAAGTATGAACACACATTTGGGACATTAGGAACTAACTCAGATTCTGCCTCACACAAAGGTGCAGTCTATTTTTCCCGCACTCCCACATTTCGTTCACATGCACAACAACAATGTAGCACACTGCCATGCCTGGCAGCAGAAAAGAAATCAATCTGTGACAAAACGAGCAGGCTCTATCAAAGTCTGTTTCCTTCTCCGTGAGAAGATCTGAGAGTGTATATATTGATGTACATTTGTTAGACGGTAAAGTGAGAAAATATTTGCCCAAAGACAATGCTGGTCAAGCTTTTGAGATAAAGAAGGGAAAGAAAAAACTTAAGCAAAGCAAATCCAGAAAACTTCTTCATTGAACCTAATACTCATAGATCACAAAATCAAACCATGTCGAATCATTTTCCAGAAAACTGTATTTCTATACAGTATAACGCATGGCCTGTTCTATGTTGCCGACACAAAAAGTACAGCAAAACTGTTTAGAACTGCAGCCTGAGAAGGATACAACATCCCAGCAAACAGCTACTTGCTGCTTAAAAGAAATTTATTATTTTTAATTTTTTTTTTTTAAACCCTCCTCCTGTGGAATCAAATTCACATCTTCAGCTTGTAACAGGGGAGAGCCTTACAGCTACACCATAAATCAACAGACATGGGTGAATTGTCATCATTTGTGTCCAGGAAGAGCAAGTACATGAACATGAGCGGGCAAACAATGGGGAATGTACATGATCTTAAGGACCAACAGCAGCTCCTTCCCACACCGTCAGTATGCCAGGACACTGCGGTAACAACACAAGTCACTTCATCCCATACTGTCAGTGTGCCAGTACCCTGTGCTAACAATGTACAGAGTTAGGTTGATAAAGTAGAAAAGAGTAAACACCACCTCATACAGAGTCAGCACAATGTTAGATGCTCTGCCACTGGACGTACAATAGCCCCTCTCAAACAATGTAAATGCAAGAACAAAAGAAACAGAAATTTTTGGTGTTGAAGTACCAATACAACTTTTTCAAATTTTCTCAAACCATTGTGCCTCTTGCAGTTTCAATAGTTCCTGCCAAAACAAATTGGTGCTGGCAGTCACGCTAGTTTGCAGAACATGCTCACCAAAATCAGGTTCAAATCATTCCATCACAGTGACTTATCCACAGCATGGTTGGGAAACATATGACTACATATTTCAGAAACAAAGTTTTTAAGTGCATTTACAAAGTACAGCGTAAATGCCTACTTTCATACAGCGATCTCCTTAAACCAGTCTCAGATTGTCAACAAAACCAAATTATCAACAATAATGAACCATACTATTAAAAAGCGAAGCGAAGTAATAATGTAGTTATTGGAGCAAAACAGTATCAAGACATCCCATCCCTAAGCCATTTAATAGTACCATTTTGACATTGATATCAAATGCACTGACAAAAATTACCATAGGCGAAACAACGGGAGCTGACATTAGAAAAAGAAACAAACAGAATCATTCAGAACATTTAACAAATATCCGTGTCATAAAAATTGGAATTCTTGAAAACTACGACAGAAAAATATATGCTTCTTCTACTTGAAAGACACAACTTTCGACTTCACCTTAACCCTCTCAGCAGCAATCAATGTCAAAGCATCCCAACACTGCTTAAAACAATGCGGATAAGAGCATTCTATGCTCAAACAAGTCAAAACAGGCCAACATTACCTGCCTGCTTACACATTCCCGCCCAACGGTTATGACAGGTAAAAAAGACACCAAAACAAATCAAACGCAATCTGAAGATAGGATTGCACGACACTTAAGATTTTTAGATATACGTTTAACTTTTCCTCCAGCAAAGAGAAATGGCGAACTAATATATGTCCACTAAAAAATTCGGAAAAGGATTCAAATTTGAATAAGGGCCGTTAGACAATTTGTGGTATTGCAATAGACAATGTAAAAATGCCAGTGACCAGCATTTCCACTCAAGTGAGGCAACAGGAGGAGCAAATTGCACCACAAAACCTGCCTACCCTTGAGGCATGTAAAACAACCAAAAGAGAGAACCATTAGAGAGAAAAAAAAGTGCCTACAAAAATGTACATTAGTAGTGTTTCCAGGAGATGGTACGTCCAAAAAAAACAACCTGCCAACTGCACACCAGAAAGAAGGTGTAAGAAGAAAATCTTCAACCACGCAATCATCCAAATAAGCTAGCCAGGCTTAAGAGTGCACTTTCCACTCTGCCATTCATTCACATCCACATGACAGGTTTGGAAATTTCACATAGAAGCTGGTACTCCATACTCAAGGCAAACATTAGATTCAACAACAAAAAACCCCAACAAAGTCCCACAATCTATGACACTCAACCAGCTCTTTCAGACCTATCGCAGACACCATACTAGTCACTCTGCAGACTCATACAATAGCTAAAAATGACATTTTCTGGAAAAATCAACAACACGCATTCTGTGCTTACATAAAAGCTGCACTTCAAATATTTTCAGTTTTCAAGTTCATAATAAACATTCAAGACATTTAAAACTCATAAATGAGTTTTGAATAGTTAAAAAATAATAAACAGCATAAATATTCTGTGAAAAGTCCCCTTTTGCGTTGCGTTAAACTGGTCATAAATGAAAATGAGAGCAGACATATTCAGAAACGGTGCACATAAAACTCAATCCTGAAAAAAAAACCATCAACCAACAAAACATATATTTCTCAAGACAAAGAAAACTTAAGATACAATATTTTACAAAACGTCCTTGAAGTAAAAGTTTGCATTATTCTCTATAACCCTCTCATACTTCTCAATATAAATAAAAAGTCGGAACAAAGTATCACATTCACTCCACAATTGCTCCTTGTTTTTATAAACAATCCGAAACGGCTGTTACCCGAAAACTTTTTCAGATCTACAAAATCAAAACAAAGCAAAAAGAAATCATTTAGATGTACCATCATCTCATATCCTTCTAATTCTGCTCGAAGCAAGACCAAGAGTGGACATGCGGTAAATACATCAGTTTTCAAACCATTATTCGAAAACTTGTCTGACAAAAATGACTTGGGTGACTGCAGAAAAGAGTGAGATAGTCTGATACAAACTACAGCAAGGCGTCCAGCCTGAGAACAGGGGGGGCGCGCAGCGGCAAAGGACTGCTCCACAGAAAGTGAAGTCTATTCATCACTGTGATCAAAACATCACTGGGTGAGTGACATAACACCAGTGGGGCTTGAATCAATGAGGTGAAGTGGATCTGAGAAGAAAATAAAAAAGATGTACTTTAACAATTAAACTTCAAAACTTTTCAGCCAAAGGTGGGCAAATTCACCAATTTTCCCATCTGGGCAAAAATGCTATATGTAAGAAGTTTACAGCAACACAATGAGGTCAAAGTGCAGAAGATTAGAGATGTCACAAAAGAGTAACATTCGCAAAAAGAAGAGGGGGAGATAAGAACGATAAATGTTTGAAAGTGAAGAAGTAGCAAACCACACCAGAACACAGGCCAACCACCCACTTAGAACAAAAGATAATCCTAACACTTAAAAACCCTAAGAGAAATCTATGATCTGTGTAAGTACAAAATAACAAGGTCCTTCACTTTCAAAATACCCACCTGAAATTCAGCATTTTCAATGCTCAAGAAGTTCTTCCACACGTTGCATCTAAGTCAGACAAATTCAGTTAAGTTGGAGAGATTTTTAAAACAAAGACAGCCGGATAGGCTTGATGAGACCAACAGAGGAAACCTTTCCGTGGTCATGATTTACTCGTGGATGAAAAAAAACAAGCAGAATAAAGAAAACCAGGGTCTTTAGTTTTTTAGTTTTAGAAGAGGTTTTAAGGCGCTCACAACTGCGTAAGGTCATATGAGCGCCAGAAGATTAGAGGTGTTACAAGAGAGTAACAAACATAAAAAAGAAGAAGGGGATACAAGTATGATAGATGTTTGAAAGGAAAGAAGAAGCAAACCACACCAGAGCACCCACCAACCACCCACAAACCAGGGTCTATCTTTCAAATTCACCAACATAAATGGCGATGGAAACAATAGGACACAAAATTTAAAACAGGTCACCAACCTCTCCCTACCTTTGAATTATAAAGTTCTAACAATTTTGGTCATTTTTGAGTTATTAACTCATTCGCTACCTATTATTTTCGGCTTGTGGACGAATTTTTTTCGGGAGGGTGAAATAGATGAGGACTAGTGGGCAGTTAAAAGGTCTTTGGGGCCACAAATTCAAATAAATATCAACTTATTATATACCAATATTTTCAGTATGGTTTGTAGAATACATCTGTAATATTCATTTATGTATTTTTCAACTTTAGTTCCTGTTAGAGGCGATTATGCAACACAATTTTGATTGGATGCGGATAAAATTTCAAAATAACAAATTAATAATCTTTGGTGAAACTCAAAAAATATTTTTGCACTTCGTCAAATGATACATCAAAATAACCATAAATGAATATAGAACTGGAAAATATTGAACAGTTTGCAGTTATTTATATACATTCCATAATATTTGTACATTTGGATCATAACATCCGATATTGAAAAAAAAAATAATAATTTATAATCTTGAAAAACGATCACAAATAGAAAAAGCCCACTCGTATCTTATATGGAATTATTCAGAATTGCATTTGGAATAAACCTATACATGTCTTGAGTGGCACTTTTTGTGTAATTTCAGCAAAAAGTAGTGATTTTGGGGAGAAAAAAATATTTTGACAATTAAGATCTAGATCTAGATCTAGACCTAGATCTAGCACTCAAAAATATTGATTTCTCAATAACAGTGCATTGGCAATATGAGTCCAATCGTATCAATATTATAAAAAAGAGTCCTACATTTCTTTAGTGGGCAAAATAATGATAGATTTTGTTGTGTAAAATTAGTAAGACTGGTGTCCGGGCTATAATTTTGGTATCGCGATAAAACAAAGTCGAATAAACTACGAAATCACGTTTCAAAACTCAATCTAAATTCCCGATTTTCAGTGGAAATGCTTGACCCGAAAGTCAACATTATTTCATGACCTTTATTTTAACATGGATATGTGGATTGGAATAGAATCTAAGCTAAAATTGAAGATCGGTTGTCGAGCCGCCGGGGGCGGCTTAGCGTACTAACAGCACGGCTCAGCGTAGCGAATGAGTTAAGACAGGTCAGAAACCAAATGTTCTACTTGCTCTATCAAATTAACAAGATTATTCTGAGTTGCGTAATCAAGATATTCAAAGAATAGCATTCAAACAAGCTTGACATATGAAACTCAAAATTTTTTCTGTCAAATTTCTAAAAACTAGGTACTGTGCAGATAGAACTTTGTACTTCTAGGGTAGCCCTTTGTCAGCAGCAATTTACAAAACAAATTCAGAGCGTCAACGAGTAAAGAAGGATCCATCTTCCCCACTCACCGATCTATAAGGAGAGAGATTTACATGGTGATGAAGCTGGCGTTGCCTTCTGAGCCTGCAGCGTCCTCTGCCCCGGCCTGCATGGCAAACTGCACCGCCCCGTCCTCATCGTGTTCCACAATGGCGTGTGTGACCTCGTTGGGGTCGGCGGCCTGCACGATGATGATAGTTTCCTCGCCGCCGTCCGTCTGCAGCGTGGTGAACGTCTGGCCCTGCAGCACCTGAGAGGCATCCGTCACCATTGCTTGGTAAGTTCCGTCCGACACCTGAACAACAGATATTTCGTAAACAAAAATTACAATATAACAAAAAGTGTTAAATATTAAAGAAAAGAGGAATTTGCCTTGGATCTGTACAAAGCGGTCACACATCAAGTAGTGATTTTCTTAGGGTATTTTTTCTTTAAAGTTTTCTCAAATTAAAATAAGAAATTAAAAGAAAGAGGAATTCTCCTTGAATCTTTACAAAGTGGCCACACATTCATTTCAGTCATTTTCTGGGGGGGGGGGGGGGATAAGTTTTCCCAAATTAAAAAAGAAAACAACTTCTGCAATGTTTTCAGAATGTGACAATACTCCAGCTGCTGTGAAGAGCACTGACCTGAGCATAAACTGTGGCTGTGCCATCGTCAGCATCGTGGTGCGAGGACCCCGCTGGGGCGATGGTGATTGTGTGCTGTCCCAGCTCATCCTCGTCGTCATCGGCCGTCTCCTCTATCTTGCGGATGTAGGCCTGCATGGCCTTGGCTGCCTCACCATGGGATACGTGGATCTTGCCAATGTGCTCCAAGAGAAGCTTCTTCCTCTTGAAAGTCTCATGGCACATGTCACACATGTAGGGCGACAGCTTCTTGTGGACCTGCACACACACACACACACACACAAACAGAGATTTTGAGTTAGGGTAGTTTGTTATAGTAAGTAATTTACGGCACTGGCAACACAATTAGATCATTAAAAGCCGCAGACTGGAGGAGTTACTAGAGAATTACAAACACAAAAAAAGAGGAAAGATAAGGACAGTAGATGTTTGAAAGGAAAAAAGAAGCAAACCACACCGGAGCATATATGTGCTAACCACTCACTGAGTTAGCGTGTATGCATAAAGAAAATCAGCTGCTGAGTGTTAAACAAAATCTAGACCAAATCTTTTTAAAAAGGTCATAAAGAACATTAAGACACTTGAATCGACATAAGGGCTTAGAATATATTGCTCTCTCAGGAAAAGAAGAAGGCAAATGAAGCCGAGTTAGACCCAGGCAAACTTAAAAAACCTAAACAGATGGGTAATGGGGAAACACCAAGATAATATAGGTCTTTTGAGAGCATCCAAGTGAAAAGGATGAATGGAGAACCATGATTGCCAATATCCGTTTCAAAGCTGGCACTTGATAAGGATGATGTAAAGAGAATCACATCAACACAATAAATGCTATTTAGCGGTGGGAAAAAGTAAGACAGACAGAAACAAAAAGGGGAAAAGCAGAGAACTAGAACCTACAAGTGGGGCCCTCCAACCACCCACACACACACTCAGGGGAAACCTTGAACTTTGGTGCTATTGCTGCTACTGCTCGATATCATCAATTTGCTTAACCAAAGCTATTTTCAGCATTATATCAATGTAACTCACTAAACCTTCGTAGGTTTCAACACATTCAACATCATCACCTCTCTAAACCATTGCTATCTTCAGACAACCCACCATCCTAGCGGATCATTTGCTTTCATGGTTAACCCATGAACGGTTGATGACTAAGAGGGTCATCCCACCAACCATCTGCAGTGTTATCAGACATAGAGCCATGGACTACAAAGAGAACTTTTTTAAAATTCGGTGTCACAGGAAAGACATTCACTTGGTTGTAACCTAATACTCCATAAGACAAACAAAACAGGAAAACGTCTGAGATAGAGATATCCACACCACGCAGATTTAGTAATCAATCCAAATCAAAACACTCTTGGTGACATTAATCATTTTAGATTCAACAAAAGCAAAAATACATCACAACACAAAACAACTACAGTTGTTTGTTTTTTTCAATATTGACAAAGAAAATGATCCAGCTACATTCAACCCAACTGAGGAAATTTCAACTTCAATAATCATTGCGTAAACTGATGCAGTAAACAGGACAATAAATTTATGAAAGAATGTCAAGTACCTTGACAAAAGTGCCTGAACTACCAGCTCTACTCAATCTACTGCTATTATCCATCTGTTTCTGAAGCAATCTATAAAACAAAGCACACACTCTTTTTTTATCAGTGACGTATTAAGACATGTTCTGAATAAAGTGAAAACACAAAAGCACATATTTTCTTTTTTTTCCCGATAAGTGTTTTACAGCGCTCGAGACTGCATACGGCCACACGAGCGCACGGAACAAATAAAACTTTTACAGCTGGTAGGAAATTTTGAATTTCACCCGGGTGGCGGCCGAAGCCTACTTTTATCGATTTTACACCACAAAGGGATCTTTAACGTGCGCAATTTGCACACAAAACCTCTCAGATTTTTCACCCTTGTCCGAGAAGACTAGGTGTAGATCTTTCCTACCAGAAGATCAGGGGTGTGGCTGAAAGACAGCAGTAAGGAGCCAAGGAGTAGCAGTAGAAAAGCTGCAAAAAGAGTCAGGAGCCCAGAGGAGGGGGCAAAGCAGATGAGGGGGTGGGGGCAGGAAGAGGAGACGAAAGCAGACGACAGAACATCGCTAGAGAGCAGGAAAGGAGGTGAAAGGAGACAATTTTAGAGAACAAATTTTTTTGGGGTCGCTACCCAGATTCGAACATGGGACCTTCAAATGAGAGTCCAACACCTTAACCTCCAGGCCACGAGAGCCCCCAAAAAGCACATAGACGCTATAATTTTCAATAACTGCAGGGGAAAAGCAAAAAAGATAGATGCAAAAGAGGGAAAGTAAAGAAGTTGGCCCTCCAACCACTCATCTGGAGGCCACGTGAATCATGTCCCTGAGCAAGCTGAGCTACAAGAACTTACCAGCTGTATGTGTGACATCAAGTTGGACTTATTGTTGAAGCAACGTCCACAATCCGTACACTTGTGAGGTTTCTCGCCCGTATGAATTAGCATATGCCTGGGACGAAACAAAAAATGTTTAAATTTTACAAACAGCCCAAACATTTTATTTTAAGCTACAGAGACTGATTCAAAACGAAAGTCAGCAAACTGTAAAGTTTTATTACAGCTAGAAAATAAAATCATTTTTTAAAAATTCCCTATAAATGGTTCAAAGACCCTTAAAGTGGGTATCACTCCCCCTACTATAATCAAAATAAAAAGTCCAAAATCATCTTTGTGCCATTTTTGGCATTATTCTACAAAAAACATCTCAAACAGGTTGGAGAATCTGAAGCGCTTAAAATATCATTAACATAGGAAACATACAGTGTAGACAGCTTAAACCGATTAATCCGAATATAGCAGTAAACCTAAAGAAAAGAAAATCCCCAATTTTTTTCCTTATGTTTAAGCAACCTCTCAAAACCAAAAACCCGGCTAGACGGAAGAAACTACGGCAGTCCTGCACATTTCTATTTAAGCAGACTCAAATGTAGTTGTAAAAAAAACTATTGCTATACCTGTCCACATGGTATTTCTTGGTAAACCTCTTTTCACACACTGAGCAAATGAAGATCTTCTGGTTAGGAGATTTCCAGTTCTCATGTACTCGTTTCGTATGACCAATGAGGGCTCCAAGTGTCTTGAAAGCAGCTTTGCATGTATTGCACAGGTACTGGCGAGTGTGCAAGTGCATTCCCTGAAAGAAATACAGCAGGAGTCAGCAAGTGCAAGGTTTTCAAAACTAAAAAAAAAAAATTACAAAAAAAAAATTTTCAGGCATGGCTAGTCAAGATGATGGGCACTGGTGAAGACACTACCGTCCTAAACCCTGTTTTCTGCATTCAACAAAGTTATCCTTAATTGTTTACCTCTTGACTGTGCTGTAGACATATCTCATGTATTTCAATAATCTGCAAGCAAGTGCTCTGTATCCCAAATAGCAGATAAAGTCAGAGTGTTGTTTCGTTGATAACTAGGTTACTACTTGGTTTTGAATAAAGAGAGTGACATCTCACTACCCTTGATTTAGGAGTTTTATCTGGTATTTTTGGCATTCAGTTACTAAGACAACAAGATCAGAAACCAATTAATGTTCTTGGCATTCAGTTACTAAGACAACAAGATCAGAAACCAATTAATGTTCTATCTGCCCTATCAAAATCAAGAGACTATCCGGAGTCGTTATCAATATGTTCAAAGAATTGCATTTGAAAAAGCTTGACATGTGAAACTCAAATTTTTTTTACATCAAATTTCTCTAAACTAGGTAATGAAGACTTTGTAATTCTTAGGCAACGACCTCTTATCATTTCAGCTACGAAATCATATTTATTATTTTGTTCAGTCTCAGTACTTTATAGTTACAGTATAATCCGCTTATGTCGACATGTTCTGGGAAGTGGATTTGATGTCAATATATAAAATTGTCTATAAATGAAATATAAAGTCAAAGAGGAAAAAACGAGGGGAGATCAGCTGTAAAAAGACAATGCACTACTTTTTAAAGCTGGTTGTTTCCCTTGATTCTTACTCAACAACACTGTGAAACTAACAAGAGGAGTTACGGTTACAAAGACCGAGCAACGTGAGGCGCACACTATACACCAGCGCAAACTTCGTTGTAGCATCCTTGTAAGGCCAGTTTATGGTCGCTTGCTGGGGAAAATGGAAAGGTGAGGCACTGACTCGGTGACCGTGGCACTTGCCAGCGAAAGACTGATATTACTGAGAATGGGACGGGGAAGGGGAGAGAGCGATCGGAAGTGGAGGTAGGGAGGTGATGCCTAACGCGCAAGATGCTCACGTCTGTGAGGCACTGTACTGTGTTGGAGACTACACTGTGTAGGCCCTACATGACCTACTAAAGCCTGGAGTGTCTAATAGGCTGCTTGGCGGGTATGTGGACTTATTGAAGAACTAATGCGTTGACCGTTAGTGTAGCTTTTCCCCCATTTACCTTCGTGGGCTTCGTCAGGTACCCAGGAAGCATGTTGACAAAGCAGAATGGGTCGAAAAAGTCTATATAAGAGGAATTATTTAGTGAAGATATTGAAGAGAAAATTTCGTAATTGGAAAACATGTCGATATGTCAAAATGTCGATAAATTGGCTGTTGATAGAAGTGGATTATACTGTAATGACATAGTTATGGCTTGTTCCACCCCTGTCAACACAATTCCAGAACTACATATAACATAAAATTAAAATAAAAACTTCAGCTCCTGCTTTCCTGACAGCTTCTTGAATGCCGAATATAAAAAATACAAATAACTGTTCATCAATTACAACCACGGAATTAAGACAAGTAGGGCCTGACAATACCTTGATGTGGGTATTGAGATTTCCCCTAAAGGCAGAGGCGTAGTCACAGTGGGGACACTTGTACGGTTTGCGACCAGAGTGCACAGTCCTCATGTGGGAACTCATTCCTGTCTTCAGAACCACCTGCACACATGGAAAACAGATCAAAACCACACAATAAGAAAGCTGCTCAGTGTTACACGAACAAGTTACAATTTTTTTACTTCCCTAATTACTTGAATAATTGGTTTAAACTGAGATTTTTTCATTTCCACTTTTTCAGATTTCTCTTTAGTTATCATAAAGACAGTTACAAGAGCCACGATACAGTTGTACAAAATGTGCAGCAGCTATAAATACTGCATGAGATAAGGCAAAGAAGAGGATGAGGTTAAAAAAGAGAGAATAAGGACCACGGAGAGAAAGCAGAGGACACAGATGAAGACAAACTGAGAATTTACATGTTATGGGCTATCCCAGCAAGACTGCTGTTACTTTCCCAGGTGACTCCAAAAAAAATTAATTAATCAACGGTCTATGGACAATAACTCACACAACTTGAAATTTATAAGACAAACCCAATGAAAATATGAAGTGAGGTCAAACAAAGAGAATCAAGATAAACCAGTTACAGTATGTATCTCTATGGTCACCCTCATGAAATTTTGAGAGAAAAAATCACACCTTAGAACAAATGGGACAAGGAATCTGCATTCTGTTCTGTTGGTGAAGTTCCATGTGCCTCTTCATGTTCTTGGTCACTTTGCCACATTCCGTACAGGTTTCACCAGATTCATCAATGCCAATAGTGGATACCTTGATGAATAAAGTACAGAGTGTAAACAGAAATAAAAGGGTAATGTAAAAAAATAGGACACTTGTTCAGCTTTAGGAAAAAAGGTGACTTTCCACTGGCTACATAAAGTAGGTAGCATAAACGCGGCCTCGCGGCCTTCCGAGCGCGTGGTTTCGATGGAATCTGGGCAATTCACATTGCTGTTTCTATGCTCTTTTGCAATAAAACACCAAATGCCGCACACCTTGTAAAAGTTCAGCTTTCGATCGTTACAATGGTGTAAGTTGTTTGTACATCTGATTATTAGGAGCTGAAGAATCGCCATGGAAAGCCCCTCGCGGTACAATGCATTCAAATGCTTGACGGAAAGATCGATGATTAAATACCGTCTTTTCATTGGCGGAGAACTGTAGAGCTTTGAAAGGGGCTTTCCACAGGTATATTTTTGGCCTTTGGCGTTTAAAGCCTTTAAAAATACTGTCAAAGTTTTCAAAGATCATTTTTTACACGAAATAAGTGAAATACCAGTTCAAAAAAGGTACCAATAGTTCTTTTCCAATTCCGCTAAACTCGAAAAGACAGGGAGAACTAAGTACACTACAGTATAACAGTCCAGCAAAAGCTTACAGTAACATAACAATGTCTTAAGTGTCTCTCTAATGATAATTATCCATTTCTACACCTTATAGACCTGCATGTGAGCCTCAACCAGATTGTCTGAAAATTTTGCGCAACCCCCCCCCCCCCCCCCCCCCAAAAAAAAAAGCATTTGTGGGTGTCATAAGGAAGGACATCCGAGTAACGAGCGACCACCCCAACAAACACAATAAAGAAGAGACCTAACCCTAACCCTATCCCCAAAAAGAACCTGCAACGGGCCTCATGTAAAAAGGCCAAAACAAGTCCTAAATGAAAAAAAAAAATGTTTAGATCTAGATCTAGTTAAAAAACCACACTCCAAAACAAACAAGGAGCATAGATCTAGATTCTAGATCTATATGGCTTACATCTAAATATACATTGCTATAGGGTTTGATACAATAACACAATAGAATTGGAAAATGAATCCTCCATCTATCTAGATCTAGATCTAGTAATCTAAATAAATCTAGATCTAGATCTAGATCTTGTAGAACAAGTGAATAGGAATAGGCCTTGAACTAGAAATCCGCATCCGATTCCGAACAGAGGGACTCAGCTGAGTCTAGATTATAGATCTCTAGATCTAGATCTAGATCTAGATTCTAGATCTAAATAAATAAATAATTCACGCACCTGATGAAATGCTTATTTTTACCATTAATATTACAGCACAACCTATGATAGGGTTTGACACAATAGAATTGGAATCTGAATCCTCCATTGAGGTCTATAATGATCTAGATCTATATAAATCTAGATTCTAGATCTATATTCTATTAGAACAAGAGAGTCGGACTTGAATGAATCAACACGATCTGAACAATTGAATTAGTCAACAAACGAAATTCAAAATGGCCGCTCGAGCACGAAACTGAAAGTAGATAATTTAAGTTGTCGTCCTTTTTCGTATTCGCATTTCTACTTAGGTTCCGACAATTATGTCGGAAACGCCGACGTCGGCAGTCGGCGGTGCGCGCGTCGGCGGTCGGCACGAAAACGAAAGTGCCGACGAAGCCGACGGGAGAAAAAGGGGGTCGCTGGCAGTCGGCCAGGCCTCGCACTACGCACATTGACTGATACAGGCGGGCCGGTTCGCGGGTCGGGTCGCGATTGTCCGATTTCAGACGATTGTCGGCAAACATGCAGGTCTAACCTTAAAATAAATCAGCATGCGGTAACAATAATATTTATTTATGCATACCCATTCAAATCTTTAAAATTTGTTCCTACACTGAACACCATGAGTACAAATTAGCGAAAATAAAAGGGGGGAAAAACCCAACAGACGCATATTTAGCTTTCTTCACAATATCTGCTCACTTCACCTATTATGCTATTTTCATAAAAACAAATTTAGTCATAAGAACTGAGATCAACTTACCCTGTGAAGTCTTGTGAACCTTCTAGTAGATACACGATCATAAATAACCACACTTAAACTTACTGCGCAATCAACAAGTCTCAAGTTGGGCTTACCTTCATAATCCTCTCTCTCCACTTGGCATTCCTCATCTCCTCCTCATAGCTGTGCTCATCCCTGTGCTTGCCCTTGATGTGCTTCACAAGGCCGATGAAGGCTTTCTCACAGAATGGACATTTCAGCGCTTCTTCAGTGTTGCGACGAATAGTTTTCCTTCTTGGTTCACTGTCTTCAAACAAACCGTAATCCTCCTCCAGTTTTCTCCTGCGTCTGCGATACAGGTCGTCTTCGTATTCATCAAAATCCATTGCATCAATACCCGCATCTTGATTGAGGGGCCCAAACTTTTTCCTCTTGAGCCGAGGGTCTGTCTGGGTCTGGACAGAGCGACGGGTGGCAGAAACAAAAATGGTTTCCACCTCCACAAACTCATCAAACTGAGGGGTCTGAGTTGACATGCAGTTGTCCACCATAGACGTTTCAGTAACTTCCCCGTCAGTAGCTCCAACTTCTTCTTCTCCAACCTGACTGTCATCGAGGGAGGCAATGTACTGGTCTCCTGTGTACACAAGAAAGAAAAGAATCACCCAACAATGAATTGTGTTTTCAAAAAAAATAATTTTTGTTTAAATAAATTAAAAAACACTCGAAATATTCTTTTTAAAAACAATACAAATTCAATGCATTACAAAAAACTTAAGTAGATCAATAAATATCATAGTACACGAAAATGACATTACATTTTATCTAGATCAAACCACATTTTGACTGCTTAATGTGAGGGTAGGGGAAATTACAATCGTCCCTTTTAACAGACAAAGCAGAAAGGCAAGGACAATTCTATGAAGTGCTGAAGGTCCAGGAGGCCAAGCCCCAATGGAAATTAAAATTTAGTGCTTTCTGAAAGTTGAAAATAGCATTTGAGAACCTGTTCAAAGATATCGCTAGCTAACAATCCATTATCACTTTTTTGTACATTAACCCTTTGTCTTGATTTATCCGATTTCGTTATCTGCACATCTTTCCATGGCAGTTACTGTTTAAAAACAAACTGCCCTTTCCATGGCTTCTAAAATTTGTCATCACAACATTCACAAAAGGCAAATCCGTGAATCTCTATCTTGACAATACAATCACTCAGCTGTTTTAATTTCTTTTTTTAATGTGTTTTTACTGAGCACGATCCCTAATTTTCCTCCATTGTCACATTCGAATGTCAAATGTTACAACCAAAGCGCACTACTTCCACTTTTTTTAAATATTAAATTCTTGAACTGCAGCCTTTATCCTGATCTCGTAGAATACTAATCTGACAATTTTTCTTGATCAAGACTGATCTTTAAAAGTTTGATAACAATTTTCTTTTTAAGTCACCATTCATTTTTTTTTATCATCAGATATATTTTCCAGTCACTGCTAAGATGTGCAGACACAAAGAATAAGTAAATGAAAGAAAAGGAAAAAACTGGCATGAAAATTTCCCCATTGTGACAAGCCAGTGGCAAATCAGCAGGTGTAAAATGTATTGCCAACAGACCTGCAATGGATGCATGAAAGGACAATGGCCAAGTGCACAAAATGAGCAATCTGTTAGCAATGCAACTCATTACTGAGAATTGTCATATATATCCAAACTTATCCACGAAGACATGAACACAAGTATGGATCCTTTGCTACACAATAGCAGTAGACCTATACTACAGCAACCTTTTATACAGTTGATATGAGGAGTAGGCAAGTACAGAACTTTCATAATGTACTAATTTCTGGACAAATACAGAATGTTGGAAACACATTGTGCAGTGAGCGCCAGGGCTCCCCTTTTCAGGCCAACTTAAGAGGTGCCTTCACCCTTTGGTTACAATTTTAAGGGGTATTTAAACCCTTGTTTTAGAAACTTAATGGGTAAAAGTCAATATCTCATAATTTTATAGTAAGATTTTTGGCTTGCAAACATTTAACTCACACGCACATTCACACAGACACACAGAGAGTGACCATAACTATTATTGAATGCTAACGATTTTAATTAACTTAAGAAATAAATGAGTAATATTAACTAGAATTAGAGTTGTGTCCATTTGGAGGGGGGAAGAGTGGTGATGGTTGAGCAGTTGGGTCTATCAAAAATAAAATAGAGTTGACAAACCAAAAGGGGACAACTCCGACTATAATTTATACTCCAAGAAAAATAGACCTGCCACTCTACGAAATCTAAAAGTCAGGATCTCAGTGGGGGGAAAAAATTGGGACTTGGTGAAAAAAATTGGGACTTGGTGAAAAAAATTGGGATCAACGACAAATCCCCTAGGTCACTGCCAAGCTGACTTTAAAAAATTCCAAGGGTATCCATTATTATATCCATGTATATTCCCTCTGCGCACATGCGTGTGTGTGGTGTATGTGTGCGCGCACGTGTGTGTGCGTGTGTGTGTGAGCGCGCATGCGAGTGCCTTTGTGTGTTTTATCATATATTTTTTTAAACCCTGAAGTATCATGTCAAGGTCTCCTAGTCCAAGTGTTTTACCGCACACCCCCCTCCTCAGATAAGTCCCGAAAGATGCTTAAAACAGTGCGCATGAACTTAAAATTGACCCCATCAACGACGGTCCCCGACACACGCGGAACTCACACGCCGAATTCATGCCATGTGGTGCCAACGCGCAATTGAAACAGTTTTACTGACGGGTCTTGATGACGGGCCCGACTAACCAAAACTCGGACAAAGCATATTTTGGCGAAAGCAGATCTTGAAAATGTCTTTTACACGTCGGAATGCCAAATCAATACTAACTTCCAATCCATTATAGTTTGTTAAGTAACATGCATGTGTGAGAAAAGATCCAAGACAACTTTTGGTGAGACTACTAAATTCGACAGACATTTCGGAAAATAGTGCTCCGAATTTCTGCTGACAAAAAATTTAATGAGTGCTTCCCACAACAGAAAAGAAGGCAAGGGTAAGATTTTAGAAAAAAATCCGGCTAAACAGAAAAAAAAATTTCACCCCCAAAAAACAGGGTGCATGCGATCAATATCGCAGTGCTTCCACCAGCTGAAGCTAAAAAGTAAGGAAAATTCTACTGGGGGTCTGGCCAGCAGGGTCCAGGGACAGCGTCCCGGCGGGGGTTCAGGGGGCGAAGCCCCTGAAGAAATTGATATTTAGAACTTTTAGAGTGTCGAAATGGCATTTGGGAGCCTGTTTGAAGAGATTGCCAACAACCCATACTACCTATTTTTTCACAAAGATTTTGTCTTGTTTGAATTCTTCACACATATCTTTCCATTGCTGGCAATGTTGTAAAGCAGGTTCCTCTTCCACTGCTACTATAATTAAATTAATTTGTCATCACATCATTGATAGAAGGCAAACCTGGAAATAATGAATAGATGTGTACCTTCACAATACAGTTACCCAGCAAATACCCTAATTTTCCTCAGTTTTCACGTCTGAATGTCGCATGTCACAACCTCGGAACACCACCTCGATTTATTCTAGATTTTTGGTAGTTTTAGCACAAATTTTTTTCATCGCAACCCTTATCGCGTTCCTGTGCCGTAGAATCTTCGCTGATAAATTCTCTAGACCTAGACAATAAATTTGAGAAAAAGTTTCTTTCTGACAGTAATTTTCTAAGATCACAAGTCAATATACTTGATCAACGCGCAGATTTTCCAGCCGCGGCAACAATCCGAAGATAGACAGACAGAATGAGGGAATGATAGAAAGGAGGAAAGTGGCACAAAAAGTTCACCAGATTTTTATAAATCTGCAGGTTAAAAATGTACTGCCGACCAACCCGCAAGGAATGCATGGGACTGAGCGGAATAATGGCCGTTGGCAGGAAATGCGCAATCTGGCAGATTTCTATAGCGTAACAAACTATTGCCGAGAGAATTACCGTGTAAATACCCATAATTTACACTCTTGGCTTTACCATACAAGACGATACAAAGGCGAGTACGGGTCTTTTGCTACGGAATTTCGGTTGTCCTACTCAGTCCCAGATTTTTACGGAGGGAGTTGATGATGACGGAGGAACAAGTACGGAACACGCAGAAAGTACCGATTTCCGTAAAAATACGGAAGAGTGGAAGCACTGAAATCGGGAAAATCGGGATGCTTGAGATTTAGGGCAGGGATGGAAAATAAACTGATTCATTATTCTCCCGAGTCATCCAAGGGTTCACATTCCAGTCTTTCCACACTTTCGATGACGGACAATTCATGTTTACTAGTGTGTTAAAGAAGGATGGGGGTAATGAAATCTCACGGCAGGGGTAAACTCAAGGCATGACACCGGCAAATGTGAGCGACCAGAAAGTGGGCGGAGCTTCTGTGCTATAGCAAGCCTGGGTTGCCGGAAACTGTGCGCAGCTGATAAGTAGGTCGACTAGTCGACTTCTTCTGACACAAAAAGTAACTGTTGTGCACCTGTGTGGGTGTGTCGTCAAATCAATGACCCGGCTTCGGGATCGATATGGGGGAAAATGATGCTTGCCAGACGCACACCACCTACGTTTTAAAGCGTATGCAAACCCTCGAAATGAAATTATAAAGAGTAAAGCTCACGCACAACCAAAACTTAAAGGGGGTAATCTGCAGGTTTAAAGCATAATATACGCACATTTGAGCGTAAAAGTGAGCCCAGGAGCCCAGTCCACTCTTCCTACATTACCTAAATGTTTCGAGCAGGGCAAGAGGATCCTACTCAAATTCTACTACTTTACCTGGTGTCTGAGGAGTGCCAACTATTTGCTTGATGTCAATCAAAGCTTGTTCTTCTTCTTCCTCCTCCTCTGGCTCCTGTTTTACACTGCCCATTGTAACTGGTACAACCACAATCTGTCGAAAGAGAAAAAGTGAATTTATCCACACTACTTTTTCCAAGACATGTTCAGCATAAACTATGTATTCATAAAGAGCTTTTTAACATTACCTTTATCTGAAACCTCAAGAACAATAAGAGTAGCATCTTTAGTTTTGTTTGAAATTCAGTTTGATCAGTTCCTGAAATAAATCTATCTTTCATTACTTACAAAAATTCATTTTGGTGGTGGTGGGGGGTTGGGGGGGAACAAACCAGTGACAACAGCAACAAATTCAACCAAACCATTTATAACTTTCTTTCTAATAAATAATCCATTAGCAGTCTTTTTAGTCTTAGTAAGGTTTTACGGCGCTCGCAACTGCATAAGGTCATATGAGCGCCAAGGGGTGGATGCCAACAGAGAAGTCCAAACAGGGAATCCGGCTTTCTCTTCTCACCTCTCTAGCCTCAACAGCACAAAGTCTGCTTCAACTATCAAGGCACCTCGGAAATAGCAGTTCACAAGAGAGTGACAAACATACAAAAGAAGTAGAAGAAAAACTGCGATAGTAAGGATGAGGAAAGAAAAGGCACCAATTCCCCCTTTGTTGTTTCAGCACAGTATGAGCATGATATGGATAAGTCAGCCCATTTACAATTCATCTGTGCATGCGAACATGTTACTATCCCTCCTCTGGGAATGGCCTAGACACTTCAGGCAGGAAAGTTTTTTTAAGAGGATATAAAGACAGAATGATATTACATAAATACAAAATGGATTAAAATTTAAAACATACCTCTGCCTGGGATTTTGGTCGTTTTCGAGCCGATTCTAATGAAGGCCTTCCTCTTTTCCTCCCTCTTTTTGGGGTGTATTCTTCCTCTTCTTCTTCCTCCTCCTCCTCTTCTTCTTCCTCTTCTTCCTCCTCCTCCTCCTCTTCTTCTTCCTCTTCTTCCTCCTCCTCTTCTTCTTCTTCTACCTCTTGAACTTTGCGCTTGGGTCGACCTTTAGTAACAGCAGGTGTCTCTGGGGTGGCTGTTGCCGACTTTGGAGGCCTCCCTCTTCTTGGTTTTGGCACCTCTTTCACAATTATTTCCATCTCCTCTTCTTTGCCTTTCCCCTTTTTCTTCTGATCATCTTTCACGAGTGAGCCTTTCCGAACCGCAGCCTCCTCCTCCGCCTCAGCCTGCTTCTTTTTCTTGGACTTCTTCTCTTCCACCTCATCCTCCTCCTCTTGCACCGGTTCCTTCTTGGGTCGCCCTCTTCGCCGAGGTTGCTCTGGCTCCTCCTGCTCTGGCTCCTTCCTCGGTCTTCCCCTCTTCGCACTCGTGGGGGCTTCCTCTTTCTTCCCTGACTTGGCGACAGCCTCCACTTCCTCCACATTCTCAGCCGCTGACGCTTTCCCCTTCCCTTTTCCAGACACCGGAGTCTTCTGCGTCTTCTCAGCTTTACTCTGCACTGGGGACTCATCTCCATATCTCTTCGGCGGCCTCCCCCTTCTTCGGCTAGAGGTGGTCCTCTCTTCCTCCTCCTGCTCTACTTCCGCATCCTCTGCTGACCCTTCCTCTTCCACCGCCTTCTTGGAGGAGGCACGGGCAGACCTTTTCTTGGGGGACTCAATCGCAGCACTCTCTTCCTTGACAGCGTCTTTCTGGGAAACCCTTCCCCGTCGGGGCGACATTGGAGCTTCCTCATCAGCGTTTTCCACTTCCTCCTTCGACTTAGAAGCCCTGCCTTTTCTCTTGGCGGGCTCTGGCAAAGTTTCAGGCTCCGCCTTGTCCTCACCACGAGGAGATTTACCACCTCTGCGAGATGTTTCCCTACCCTCTTTCGCTTTATCCGAACCGTTCTCTCCTTCATCATCAAAACCAAATGACATTTCAGCATCTTTTCTGACCGCAGCAAGTTTTTCTGGAGATCGTATGGGTCGCTTCCCTTTAGTTTTGGCACCGACGTCAATATCGTCATCATCATGATAAACATCGCCCTGAATTGTTTGATCCTCATGAGCAAAGCCAGGCATCTGCATCACATCTGGCACATCAGAAGTCAAGCCCTTGTCACCATCATCTCCTTGCTTTCTCTTTTTCTTAGGCTCATCCGTTATATCTTCATTTTCTTCTTTTGCAACTACATTTTCTTCATTTTCCTCCTCTTCTTCTTCTTCATCTTCTTCTCCATCTTCAAGAGTTATGATTCTTGACTGTCCTTTTTCATCACTAGATAAGACCTGATGAGAAAGCATAAGAAAAGTAAATACAAGTTGCAAAAGTCAAATACGTTGATTACATCAACAAAGCCATTCCTCTTGGCAAAATATATTTTATGTTCACGTTCAGGAAAATTCCTTATGAAACACACTGCTGTTTGTTCTCTTCACCTTTTAACACTGAAACCTCTAAAAAAATTCAGAAAAGAATAACTGTATGTTATCACAAGTACACAAAAGCTCCCATAAAAATCTCTCTATTCCTTAAAAGAGAATGTTTTAACATCTAAGCTCATAACGTGTTCTTTTATAAATCTATTTTCCGAAGAATCAGACTAGCTACTTAATTAAACATTTGGTAAGGCTGTCCCCATGGTTTTTCATGGATCCCGCATAATTTAGCAAAATTTGATCATTTTTGGCATAATTTTTGATTATTTTCCTTCATCATTCTTTGTTAAAATTAAACAGAATCGCATAATTTCAAATTTTCGGGCTCGGTTTGCATAATTTCAGAATTTTTCTTGCATAAAACGACGGGAACAGGTATGGGTTTATTATTGTCATTTTCCCAAGTATCCTGCAAATTGTACTAGTGACCCAAATGAACAACGCATTCATTTATAAAAATGCACATGCACAGTAACATAAAACAGTGCTTCCACCAGCTCCTGCTGAAAGGTAAGGAAAATTCTGCTGGGGGTCGGGGGCCCGAACAGGCCCCCAGCAGGGTCCAGGGACAGCGTCCCAATGGTGGTTCAGTTCGCCCCCGAAGTAATTGAAATTTAGTGCTTTTAGAGGGTTGAAAATGGCATTTGGGAGCCTGTTTAAAGAGATTGCCAACAACCCATACTACCTATTTCTTTCACCAAGATTCTATCTTGTTTGATTTCTTCACACATATCTTTCCATTGCTGGCAATGTTTAAAAGCAGGTTCCCCTTCCATTGCTACTATTATAATTCAATTAATTTGTCATCGCACCATTGATAGAAGGCAAACCTGGGTATAATGAATAGATATGTACCTTCACAATACAGTTACCGAGCGTATACCCTAATTTTCACGTCTGAATGTCGCATGTCACAACCTCGGAACACCACTTCGAATTATTCTTGATTTTAGTAGTTTTAGCACAAATTTCTTTCATCGCGGCCCTTATCGCGCTCCCCTGCCGTAGAATCTTCACACTGATAATTTCTGTAGATCTAGATAATAAATTTGCGAAAAAGTTTCTTTCTGACACAAGTCAATATACTTGATCAACGCGCAAATTTTTCAGCCACGGCAACAATCCGAAGATAGACAGACGGAATGAAGGAATAATAGAAGGGAGGAAAGTGGCACAAAAATTTCGCCAGATTTTGATCAATCTGCAGGTAAAAAAGGTACTGCCAACCAACCTGCAATGAATGCATGGGGCAAAGCGGATTAATAGCCGATGGCAGGAAATGAGCAATCTGGCAGGTTTCTATACCGTAACAAACTATTGCCGAGAGAATTACCGTAAATATCCGTAACTTATACTATACAGGATGATACGAAGGCGAGTACGAGTCTTTTGCTATGGAATTTCCGTAGCCCTACGCTGTCGCAGATTTTTACGGAGGGAGTTGATAATGATGGAGGATCAAGTACAGAACTGGCAGAAAGTACGGATTTCCGTAGAAATACGGAAGAATGGAAGCACTGATGGAAAATGGAGAGTCTATGCACCCCTATCTTGAGCATCAGAGAAATGACATGCAATAATAGGTACATCTCCAAGATCTTCTTAGAGAAACACAAGACAACTGGGGGGGGGACATAAAAAATATGACACATCAATAAAACACTGCCAATCAATTACGTAATACAATGTAACAATGGACTAACATAACATTTAACCTTAACATTGAAGGGCTGGCTTCTGCAGAAGATTATACGCTATAGGGTAAACCTTTTAGGAAATTTCTCATCAATAAAAACTCATGTTGAGATAAGATAGTCCCTGAAAGCTACACACAGAAAACATAGATCAGATGTAATTACGCTTTGCACATCCCATAAAACCTTGCCAAAAGCCAGAAAAAAGTTCTTCCATTTTGAGTCTTAATAAACTTAGAAAGAAACAACTAGCAACATGTGAAAATTACCTCTCCAGGCTGCAACTTCTGGCTTCCTTGTGCCTCGAACAGATCCTGACTGTTATTCACTTTCTCTTCAACTTCTTCCTTTGGTTCTGCATTTTTGCCCTTGCTGTCTTTCTGTTTTGACCCTTTCTGTGAATTTTTTAAAAAGTGTAATTGTAAGTACTGTGTACTTAAAAAATTACAAACATTTAAAGTACAGATTCAAGGGAAAAACAAACATATTTTACTTACCCTCTCTACACTCCAACTTTTTTAAAAGGACAACAAACCAATTAAACCTACCATGTGTGAAAATTATCACAAACCTACACTACACCAATACACTCAGACCTGCCACTCTATGAAATCTAAAAATCAGGATTTCAGAGTAAAAAAATCAGGATCTGGTGAAAAAAATCAGGATCAACGGCAAATCAGTCATAAGGGGCACAGGGGAGGGGGGGGGTCCCTTTTATGAGGCAAGCACGCAAGATAAAACTTTCGCAGAAACAAGTTCCCATTGGGCCTCAAAGTAAAAAAACTGAAAGAGAGCATGTACTCGAGTCTGAGTTGGATAGTCATAGACTGGGGGAGCGCAGGTTGTAGAGAGGCTGAAACTTTCGTAGTCTTGACAATAGCTTACACATACATCATGTAACTGTAATCATCCATGCAAAAGGCGCGCATTTACATACAGTAACAACGTTTCACTTCAATCGCATGTATCAGGCACCCCCCCTCCCCCCCTAAAAAAATCTGCGCCAAGGTCATTCATTTACTATTATTTTCTTAGCATTATTCCTTCATCCTCAATTAGTACCGGTAGCCTACACGTATCACGGCAAGCACTTTAAGCCGAAGTGTAAAAAAAAAAAATACCCCCTCCCACTCCCCTAGGGCGTCTCATGCTGGTTAAGTCCAGAAAAACACCTCGACAAACGCGACCAGTGTCAATGAACTTTGTTGACCTCGACAACCTGCGGTCCCCGACACACGCGCTACTCACACTAGTCACACGTACGAGGTCATGTCACGTGATGCGAACGAAAGTTTCAAAGTTCCACTAACAGGTCTTGATGATGGGCCTGACCAACCAGTACTCGGACAAAGCTTGCTTAAATTTTAAAGCAAGGGCAGAACAACGAATAGATTATTTTTAGGCCTATGTCATAATTGTTACAGTAACCAGGCCATCATTGGAGAATTCTGGGTAAGAAAAGCGAAAGTAGATCTAGAGAGTATCCAAGTCGGAGATAAAAATTGATACTCTTCAAAATTACAGGCGTGAGTCAACTTGGCCCCTACTGGATCCGGCATTGATGTTTTAGGAAATAGCGTTTTAAGTTCCTGCCGATAAAAAGTCCAAGCGGTGCTTTCACAACAACAAAAAATCAGGATACTGGCGACCAAAATCGGGATGCTCGAGATTTGGGGCAAAAAATCGGGATATCTCGATTAAATCGGGATGAGTGGCATGTCTGTACACTGCTATAAACAACAACAAAAAACAACTCGAAAATGCAATCTTAGTTTCCTAAACTACAAGAAAGAGCGCAAAAACAAAGATAATTTAGTATTTTTAAACTGGGGAACACTTAACTGCTGTAAACACATTGTGCAAATGCAGAGTGTTGTTTCCTTCGTTCATGTGACTACATTATTACAGAATACTTTTAACAGACAAGACTTTTTAAAATCGATATTCTATCGCAGCGGAAAAGATAAAAGCAGAGAAAAAGTACGTCATTTTTACCTTCAGAGCTTCATTATCATCAGCACCTTCCCCTCCAACATCATCTTGCATCAAGGTGTTGGGCATCTGACCAGGTTGGACAACTTCATTGTCCATGGACCCGTTTTGGGACATGGCTGAAAAAGAGAAACACATTGAATAATACAATCGCCATAATGAAATATCTTAAGTTGTGATGACGACAAGAATTCTTTCACTTTCATTGCTGGATCTAGCAAGATCTGATTTTTGAATGAAAACATCTACTTACTCTCCGCAGTGAGCACACTCACAATGAAATTACCATAAAAACAGATGCTGAACTTTCCAACAGTTTTTTTTCCCTTAAAACTCAACAAAAATGGTCAGTAATTGGGGGGGGGGGCTCAAAATCATACATTTTTAATCGAATTTTCCTGGTCTGGTGCTTCTACATACAGAGTAGACTGATTCTACTAAATTACTACCAGTTCCAATTTTTTTAAATATCAACTTAATTTCTCATACTTGCTACAATAATAATTAAAATGCAATATATTTGCCCACCCCTTCTCATTCCATCTGTCCGCCATCTTGAATTCCTTTGTGATGTAAATAAACAAAGATCAACTCTGTGACTATTTATGTCTCCTCATGTGCGATGCAACGTTTAGTTGGTATGTCTAGTGATGAGTAGCGATGTGGTCCAAAATTTTCAGAAGCAACAAAACCGACAAAACTCTCGCCCTATGTGTTACGCGACAGGCAATTTACAGAAGAGAGACAGTGGCAAATTTTAATGTCAAGATGTACAAGGCAGTACTAAGTCCGTCAGATGGAAGTTCTACGAGCCGCAGACATTTTTGATTGAGTATGGCCAATCCCGTGTAAGTCCTCCTCCTCCTCCACCTCCTCCTCCTCCACTTTCACCTCCTCCTCCTGCTGTCCGTTAAAAAAAAAAACACAACAAAATTAGATTCACAAAACTTGCATTGGGTCAAATTGAAGATTAACATTCTACACACACAAACACACACAGCGTGGCGACCGGCATTCCCCTTGGTTAGGTATTTTGACCAATGGTGATGCTCTAAACCAGTCACACCCCCAGTCTGTTGCACGCAACAAGATATAGACCGATAGCAATCGACGGTCGCGTGGAACTAGACGCAGCGCTGCGTGTAAGGAGTCAGGACGTTTTACAATCTTCCTTGATTGATTTTACAGCGTCAAGGACCACACGCGTCCGACACGCATAAAAGGAATTGTTGTAAGCTCTGACCATTCATCAAAGCTTAAAAAAAGGAAGTGGCTATTCTCATCCGGGGTGAGAATAGAAAAACGATCTACCTCTCACCCCGGGTGAGACTTGCCAGCGTAGACTATTCTCACCCGGTGCGAAACAAGACCTGCTTTTCCTCATTTTGGAATACTGTCTATCGGTGTGGATGATCAAATTGATAAAAGCCAAGAAAAAATTACGTTATAGCACAAACAAGTAAGCTAATTTGATCGTCTTCAAAGATGCTATGGCTATTTCACTGTTCGAATCGAGCCGAACTACGCGGGTCGCCATTTTGTTTTGCCGGAAGTTCTCGCAAGATCTACTCCTCCCCTCTCTCTCTCTCCCTGTCTCTTTCTGAATACTGTCTATCGGTGTGGACGATCAAATTGACCAAAACAAAGTTAAAAAATGATGTTAAAACACAAAAGTAAATTAATTTGGTTGTCTACAAAGATGCTACGGCTATTTAACTTTTCGAATCGAGCCGAACTACGCGGGTCGCCATTTTATTTTGACCGGAAGTTCTCGCGCTACTGGCGCTACTCCTCTCTCTCTCTCTTTCTCTCTCTCTTTCTCCACTGCCCACAGACAAAATTGTACGCTTTTAGTAGGCTACAGCTGTAATGGAACGTTTGTTCACGGCACAGAATTCTACAATTTTTCTGTTATCACAGTGTAGAATTCTGTGGTTTAGGGTGAACACAAAATTTGTTGGCCTAGATCTAGATCTAGGCTATAACAGTGAACGCGCACCAGGTGAGAATAGCCAAAAGACTCGCCTGCACTATTCTCACCCCGGGTGAGAATAGAGGTGGCCTATAAAAATCATTGGCCAGTAGGACAGATGCACCCAAACATTTCAAACAGGCATAGCAATATGTCTGGGGGAACCAAACAGAGGCCCCGTCTCAGCAATTAAGACAAATTAAGTAGTCAAGCACAGACAATGTTTAATGTTAGAGGCATTATAATGGCCAAAACATCCCCTCAGTGGCCTCAAGACTCTTGAAGATAGGTGGCTCTTGGAGAGCAGTTGTGAACTGAGCTCCTACACAGCATTTTTGGCCATGGTAATTCTTTTAAAGGGATAAGCTAACATTTATTTAGATGAAGAGAGGAGTACATAAATACGGCACTGGCATTAGCTTAGTCTAAGCCTTAGGCCTTAGGGAGCTGCTCAGAGCAACCGAACAGTTTTGCTTTTACTTTTGTTTTTACTTTACTAGACTAGAAAATCTAGCTAGAATCTAGATTCTGGCTCTACTGCTGCTTTCTTTTCACGCCCAATCAAAGGAAATGCTCGATTGCAAAATAAATAAACAACCCAGCCCTAAGCAATGTCAACAAAAAACTGAGCGATCCCCAAAACAAAGGGGGTGAACTCGGTCCAATTCTCATTCTCGCCTAGGCCAAGCCAAAATGTCCGCGTCCGGGCCTCAGTCGCAGCGTTGATTAGACAGAACAGTCGATATTTTTTTCGGCGTGTGTGTCGGCCATTTTTCCGGTCGCCATTTGCACGCGTCCTCTCATAAATTATACATCTTTCAGGAGCCTTCCCTATCATAAATATGAGTCGTGTAACCGATAATAACAAATAATATACACACGGTAGAATTCAAATATAAACTAATAATATCTTCTGTTATTCGCATACATCAAGCAACAAGAAAATTGTCCCCCCTGGACCAAGGGCACATAATCTTCGCCATGTTCGATGATGGAGGAGAGGACAACTTGTACCACGAAAAACTATACAGGGTTGAGGTTATCGCCCGTAGAGAGTACGCTAAATATTTCTAAAATACTAAAACAATGCAATAATTTACCTTTAGAGCTCAATCAACTGTCCAGTTCCTCCCTTCTGAACCTCTGTAAGCTAGCACAATCCTTTTCCAGCGTTTTCAACTGCGCCTTGTGTCGTTTTGAGAACGAACAAGCAGGGCCTAGGCCTATTGATAACCGGTTTGCTCGAATAATCTCCCATGATGCAGCAGCCTATTCACACTTCGGCCTTTTTCGGGATATTCCGGAAGACGATGTCGGGAAAATTCAAAATGAAAGCGGGCAGTTTCCACTTCGCCACTAAATTGCCGTAACTCACGTCTTAACCAGAAATGAACAGTCACAGGAGGTAGAGCGGTATAATTTACGCGTAAATAACAAAAGAAAAACTGAAAATGAAAAGTGTTGGATCTTGAAATACACAGACTTGTTCAAAGGAAGCATTTGATAGACTAGCCGCCTTCACACACTCACACACACACACACACACACACACACACACACACTTACACAAGCTCACACGCTCGCATACGCACAGACATACACACA